CCTAGGGTTGATTGCTTTACCATTTAATCATAGAACTTGCAATTAAATTACTATCGGTCCTCCAATTTCTTATACGAGTCATCTGAGTCATAACTGGTTAATGACTTTTTATCGTATTTAGATCGAGTTTAGAAATAATTTAATATATAGATGAGATCAATCATATTCATCCATTTATCTACCAATTCCAACCTGTTCATTAAAGTATGCATTAGGTAGTAATGTATTACCTCGATTTCTGTGCCCCACTAATCAAACATTTAAACTCCATTCGATCACTCTCGAACTTGAATTTAATGTCCAATAATTCCTCGAATACATAGCAACCGAATTTACGTTAGAAATTGAACTTAATCGAAAGACCAACTTGAATCCAAAGATAAAACACTGAAAAACGACTTACCGGGTGCGAATTTGGAAAAGCAAACTTTGGATTTGGACTCAGGATGTCAAAAAACATAAAATATTTATTTTCAAATATTTTGACTTTTTGGGTCAACGGTTAAAGTCAATGGGTTGACTCGGACGTGTTAACTCATACGGGTTGACTAGACGGGTTGACTCAGACTGTGTTGACTCGGTCAAGTCAAACAAACCCAGTTCGATTGGGTTGGTCGGTTTGGGCCGGTCCAAATCGCTTGGATCGATTCTAGAAAAAAACAGAGCTGGGGATGAGCCCCACGCGTTGTCTGCATGTGGTGACGCGTGCGGCGGCGACGAAGGTTGGGGTGGTCAGTTGATTCTTCCTACTAGCAAACAAACACTGAACAACTCAAACCAACCCAAAAAATCGACCAAAATCAACTATAAAACAGTCGGAATCATTCGAAACTTACTCTTAAGATAGGACAACGAAACTGGCGGTAAAGGATGACAGCTTTGGTCGAGTTAGGAGTGGACGACGATGGGAAACTCAGTGGTGGCGGCGGTGAGGAGAGGTGGCCAAAATTCGTGAAAATTGAAAGGCAGGGTGAGGTTCTTGGCGGTGATTCAAGCGTCTATTCGTGTCGATCGACGTCGAATCATGCTTCGGTGATGCCTGGGCCTTGGTCGATGGTCGACGGTGAATCAGCCGAAGGTGACAGCACACTTCGGTTGCCGAACGGTGTTGAATCGGTGGGGCTGCGATGGTTAGGGTAAATAATTTGGGGATTTTTGGATCACGAGGGGGTTCTAATATTTTATTTTTCACTTACCAGGAAAAATGATAAAATTCAGGGTTAAGTCCCCAAACTTTCCACAAGTTCTAAAACCAATCTACAACTTTTTAAAAATTTATGATTTGGTCCTCAATTTCTCCCTTGTTATGACTTTAATTCGATACTTAAAATATTTAAAATTTAGCCCCTAAATTAGGGTGTGATAGGTCGTACCCACGACTTTTGCCACAAATTCCATTTAACTCCAAACTTTGCCTTTAATTGTCAATTTTGGGCTAATTAATACAATGAAGATCCTAACAAAAATAAACCCAAAAAGTGACAAATTAATAATATCTAAATGACAAAATGAGGAATAAAATATATTAAAAATATGCAACATTTTACACATATCAAATTCCCCCTCACTTATTCAATGTTTGTCCCTAAGTATATCGCAATTCTTACTTCTGTCACTCATCCAAAACTTAATCAAAAATTTTCATATAAATCCCAAAAGCATACTTGGATTGAAAAAGTTAAACAAGATAACCAAATAAAGGAAGCAAAATGAATCAATAAAAACAAACAACCCAATGAACAATAATCAACAATGCAAAATTTTTGTTTGTTAACTTTGGGAAGTGAGAAATTATCGAACCATGACTAACTTTCTTTCTTGTGGTGGATAGTTGTTGGAGTGAGTTTTATTTTCCTCCAGTTTTGTATCACTATATCTTTTTCTTTCTTTCTTTCTTTTCGATTTTTTTATCTTTTTTTGCGCTTATTTATTTTTATCTTTTTTTCGTTTTTCTTTCTTTTGTGATTTTCTCTCCTTTTTTTAACTCCATAGCCTCAACTCGTAATCGAATCTTTAAACTGGAAACGATATGACAACCCAAGCACCTCACCTCAGTTCTCCAATCCAACCACATTCTAGATCTATCACTCACAATCATCTCACTATAAAGCAACATACTTGATAACAACTTCAAACAAAACTAATGATACATAACCAAACTCATATTTATTCAATGTTGAAAAATATACCACTAAGTTGAAGGCATTCATCAACTCCATTTCATCTACCAAAATCAGTTTATACAAGCATAACAAGTTCAACTCAGACGTGACAAAAAGTGATTTTAGGGTTTTAAATGAAAAATTTTACAGTTTGTTTATCAGGTCACTTTAAGGGCCCAAATGTGGTATCACAAGCTCATTGTATTAACAAATCTATTTAGGATGTTACATTTAATGATATTAAAATTTCAATTGAGTCAGTTTTAGAACATGATAGTTAATTTAAATAAGTGTTTAACTTAAGCATCTCATTGATCTTACAAATATCTAGATTCTTCTATAGATAATAATATTAAATATTATAAATATCTAGATTATTTTATAAATATTATCGGACATATGCTAATAAAATTATTTTAACAATAAATATATAAATAATTGTTAACAATTATCTAGAAAGAGAGAAGATAATGAATATCTAACCTGCACAAATAAATATAACATTGAAAATTGAAACATAACTTATAGCTAAAAGTAAAAATAAATAAATTGAAAAGGTTTCTTCTTTTTTTTCCATTTTCTTTCTTTTACTAAACATTTTTACCATCAAATTACAAGAACTTTAAATATCAAAATGCACTGAATTGATTTTTTATTTTATTTTATTTTCTATCAATTACCACCGTTTCCTATTTTAATTTTCATTTACAAAAATTAAAATATACAACAATAATTTTTTTTATTTACATAACTTTTAGCTACAAAATTACAAATGCAACATTAAAATAAATCCCTTTTTCCTTTTTTTTATTAAGCATTTTAAACCATCAAAATTACATGAATTTCACAGATAAAAATGTACTGAATTGATTTTTTTTATAAAATTTCCACCAATTATTGTCGTTTCTTATTTTATTTTTCACTTTTAAATCCTTATCGGGGGCAGGGACTTGAAGGCACGTGCTTATAGATCTATTAGCACCGTTATCGAAATTGTATTTAAATATGTAAAAAGTGTATGAAATATTTTAAATTTAAAGTTTTTATTTTATTTTATGATATAGTGTTTTTCATTAATTTTAATTTAACAATTTTAGTTATTTATATTTAATTTTAGTGTTAATTAATAATCTAACCGCCGAATATTAAGGTAAAATAATTTTTTAGTTCTCCAAGTATATAACTTTATTTTTTAATAATATGAGGTGAATAAAAGGTAATATTTGTTCATAATTTTATTAATCAATTAATAACACACACCCTGTGAACGTTGTTGTTTAAATCCAAAATCACTAAATATAATAACATTTCCCTTTGGAGATCACTTGATAGGTTCAAGTATATAACTTTACTAATTCTATCTTTAAAAATTCAAAACATAAATAATTAAAAGATATATTATTTAATAAATAATATTTTTATTTTAAATATTAAGAGTTAAATTAAAAAAAAACTATAAATTTTAAAAATAATTTTACGGTTTTATAATTATTAATTTGATAATTAATAATAATATTGAATAAAAAATATATAGAAAACTCTTAAATTAAAAATAATATACAAACATAATATAGTAGAATCATAAAAATTAATTTTAAATTGTAAAATAATATAGTAATTCTAGAAATATTTAAAAATATAGATAATTTTATTTTAAATATTATACTTTTATTTAATTAATTAGTCAATTAATTTAGATCAGATTATTTCTATAGTTTTTATTAGTCTAGAATGATTACAAAATAGTATTTGTTCGAAATATTTCTTAATAACAATGCACACTTACCCTACAGATGTAATTGCTCGAACTATAAATTCTCTAGAGAGAACATCTCTTTTATCATCGAAGTCGTTTAATATGTTCTAAATTACTTTTAGGATAAATTACACGTTTAGTACCTAAATTATCAGTTTGGATCTGTTTTAGTAACTAAACTTTCAATTTTTTCAATACCTAACTTTAAGTTTTTAACAAGATACTAAACTGGAAAAAAAACTAACCGTTAAGTAAGATTTTGAAAAAAATTAAAAATTTAGATACTAAAATGGACCAAAACTAATAATTTAGTTACTAAACGCGTAGTTTATCTTTATTTCTATTAAAAAAGTTTTTAGGGTAAAGTTTTAGAAAAATAAAAACAAGATCTATAGGAAACAAATCTATGGAGGAGTCATTCGATTTGTTTTCTATATATAGATATGTCCCGTACAGTTTGTCTTTTCCAGTAAGTGCTTAGAGCATCTCCAACGCTGCGCTACAGTTGAGATATTTCTACTGTAGCGCGCTCCAGCCCTGCGCCACTTCTATCGTTATAGTGAAAAATTGCTACAGCACCGTGCCACATCTAGCGTGGTACTGTAGCTAATGCTACATTTTCTTTTTTTTTTTTTTTTAAATTAAAGTATATTAAATTATAATATAGATAAAAATACATTGAAATTAGATAAATAATCATACTAATTTTTTTTGTAATTTTTTGGATTTTTTTGTATTTTTTCTGATTTTTTATATTTGTGAAATTAATATTATAATAGTTAAATATTATGAATAAAGTAAAGTTGATAGTAATGTAGAGATAGCGCTGGAGATGAATTATTGTTTCATCTCTAGAGTAGAGATAGAAATGCTCTAGAGTAGAGATAAGGGCCGGAGATGGCCTTAGCATTAACATCATTTTCAAACCCTTTTTTCTAACACAAATCATCCATTCATAAGTGTTTGAGAATGGGAAGAAGTCCATCATGCACTTCAGATGGTTTGAGGAAAGGAGCCTGGACCCCTGAAGAAGACCACAAGCTCATCTCTTACATTCAAAAACATGGCGAAGGTGCCTGGATTTCCCTCCCCCACAAAGCTGGTAATTCATCGCCTTCTCGATATATAAGTTCATTTCATAACATAAAATCCCGTGTCCGTCAAGTGGTGATACACTCTAAGTTTTGCAGGTCTTCAAAGATGTGGGAAGAGCTGTAGATTTAATGGACTAATTATCTTAAACCTGGGATTAGGAGAGGGGAATTCACACCTGAGGAAGATGAAACCGTTATTAAACTTCATGCTCAATTAGGCAACAGGTCTAGTCCTAGTCATTATCATGATAAACATTTTCAGTTTTGCGATTTTTTATCATAATTTATTCCATTTATAACGTTAAAATTTAAACTTTTAATTTTATTTAATAAATCTAAAACATCGTACTATTAAATTTATATAATCGATCTCACCTATGTTCATATTTTTTATGTTGATGAAGGTGGGCAGCAATAGCCAGGCACTTTCCAAGGAGAACAGACAAGTAAATTAAGAACCATTGGCATGCTCATCTCAAGAAACGGTTAGTTAAAACGGGTATAGATTCAACCGCGATGGACTGCGCCTCATCGAATGAAAACTCCGATGGTATCACCGTCACCGACGCCGACACGAGATGTGCTAAACCACAACAATCTGAACCCAAAACGCAACTGTCATAACAATTTTTTAGATAAAATAATTAAATATTATTTTAAAAACAATTATAATTTTTATTTTGAAAAATTGGTGATTTGGAATTAATTTGGAATTAAATTGAAAGGAGTCGCCATCGACCTTTGGGTTAAGTAGGTCGAATACCTAAAAACGTCTTTTAAAACAATTTTAATGAAAAATCATTTTTAAGACGAAACTGATTTGCTTTTACTAAAGATTCGTTTTAAAAGCATTCGGGAGTCGGTTACATATTGTCGTAATGGTAAAAATCGTGAATCGAATATAAAGTTAAAATGCGATCCATTTATTAAAGTTAATTAATTTGATTGAAATTAACTATTTAAAGAAAATTATTTAACTTGATGAAAAATCTTGAAATTTACAATCCTCCGTCGGGAAAGCTATTTCAACTATTTTCCATTGTTAAAGAATATTCTATCGTCGAATATGTAAAAGATGCATATCGAATATAAATTGCAAATTAAAAGTTAAAAAATAAAATACATAACTTGCATTGTTCGGAGTAAAATAAAAATGAATTAACAATTAAAATAAAATTGATTTATTTCAAGTTCCATTTAGTTCAAACGTCGTATTAGATTGTACCACTTCGATCAAGTGATACTTTTTACTCCCGTTCTACAAATACGAGTTCTTGAAATATTCGGATATTACAATCATGAATAAAATAAAAATGGAAATAAATGTAATAAAAAAATACAAAATAACATGATTATATTAAATGGAATTGAAAACATCATTTACATAATACATATAACCATAAAATAAGTAAAATACATTCATACATAAATGACTAGCATAAGAATAAGTAAACATTACAAACCAAAATGAAATCATTAAAATATAAATATTTACAAGACTAAAATAAAATTAACATAAATTCGAAGGAAAAAAATAGCACAAAACATAAAGGACTAAAATAATAAAAATAGAAACTTAGAATACTAAAATGGAATAAACATATATTTAAGGACCAAAATACAAATACAAAAGCTTAAAGGGCTAAATTAGAAGTAACAAAAAATTAGGGACCAAACTAGAGAAAACAGAAACTAAAGAAACTAAAATGGAAAAAATAGAAACTTAGGGGTCCAACAGTAATTAAACAAAATGCGAACAAGTGACTAAAAAGTAACATTTACAAATTTCATGTCCAAATTAGAATATCAAAGAAAAATGCACAATAAACTAAAATAGTGATTAAAATGAATTAAATATAAATCTCATGACCAAATCTATATCATACATACATAACATATATAATTAATGACTGAAATAAAATTATTGAAAACTAAAAGGCTCAAATTAAAATAGTGATAATTTCATTAGTGGCCAAAATATAAAGCTACAAGGGAGGAAGGACTTACAATGATATTATCCCCTAACATTTAGAAAACACGGCAATGGGTGGATTTAAAACGGCACAGTTTTAGGATTAATATATTTATAATTTTCAAGGCCAAAAATGACCATTAAATTCATTTGTTTGGTTTCATCGAAGCCATAAGAGAGAAGGAGAGTCAGATTCTCCCAAATTCTCTCGTCTGAACCACCTTACATCGGTGGTTCTTATGGTGGCCAACGGCGTCGCCAACGGTGGCCGGATACAAAATCAACCTTAAATAAACCCTTTACTCGCCCTCAAACCAAAACCCAAAACCCTTTAGCCTAAAAACACATATATATTCCTAGATCTAAGGCATACATTTCTAACGAAAAATCAAACCTGTCGACTTTGGGGCTTTCACGGTGACTTTGGAGTTTCCTCGATATAAAACCAAGGTAAATCTTTCATCTCTTTTATTTTTCTTTGATATTTTTACTTGATTCGAGCTGATTTTTCCTCGAATATTTCTCCCTATTTTTTATTTCGAAGCCCCCTCTGTGTTTTTTCTTCTCACCGAATATCACTCTCGGTTTTCTCTCTTCTCTTTATTTTTTTTCTGGTTTCCCCGAATCCTCTCTATTTTTTTTTGTTCTCACCGAATGCATCCCCAAATATTTATCTCTGCTCTATTTTATGTGGCCTCTGTGATTGGTGATTGTTGATGGTTTCTGATAGATAAGATTGCTTTCAGATAGAGTCATAATATCCTAGCTTTAGGATAAGATTTCTTTTGGATTTTTTTTATTTTCTGTCCATTTTTCACTGTGTGATGGTTTATGATAGATAAGATTGCTTTCAGATAGAGTCATCTGGTCATTTCTGAGCTTTGATTTCCTGAGAGATCAAAATTGTATATTTTTTACTGACTATCTTGGATGTTATGATGTATGTCAAGACGAAATTTATTTTATTTTTTTTGTTGAATTTGTCCTCATGTAATATGTATGTAAGTATGTGTGTGTGTGTGTGTGTGTGTGTGTTGTGTGCATGTATGGCATGTATGCATGTATGTATGGATGCATTGATGGCTTTTCTTGCCTCAACTTTGATTATGAATTTTGGAGAGATATTTGTTGAATTCCAAGATACGCCTCCAGAGAGATTATCTTGTTTGAAAAACGTTTTTCTTTTTCTTGTATTTTCAAAAGTATGAAAATATCAATTAAAAGAGTTTCAAAAGGTGTTTAATCAAAAGTTTTGAAAATATTACTCCTGTCAAGGTTTATTGACAAATCATAAAACAAGAGTTCATTGAATATCAAAGAATTAATTGCACTGTTAATCTTTCAATAAATTATAGCTATTTGACAAGTGTCAAGATCAATGTTATATTTGAGAAATGGTTAGGTAAGGAAGGATAAAAAAAGTCTCAAGTGGTTATTTTTGGTAAAAGATATGGTATTCTCACTTATTTGAATGTTCATTGATCTGATGGGGTAACATGTACTCATCTTTTGGAAGTGTTCTCCGACTCCCAGCTCTTATGATCTTATTTAGGTTGTACGATGCCTTATCAAGAGATTTATGCAATCGCCTTTTTGGAAGTGTTCTCCGACTCCCAGCTCTTATGATCTTATTTAGGTTGTACGATGCCTTATCAAGAGATTTATGCAATCGCCTTCTATGCAATAGCTGCACCATCTAATATTCGAGCCGACTTTTCAGATTTTCAATTCGAATCCTCCTTTGATTTCAAGATGTTATTCAAGATTTACGTGTTGAACCCCCTTGTTATTTTTCTCTATCATGCATTAAAGATTTTTTGAAAACCTTTTTTATATAAAAGATTAATCCTTATGGGCGGGATGAAATCTGAAGATAGTCTCTTCTGTTTAGAAATCCATGTATGATTAGAATGGACTTTTTAGGCACGTAATGTAGGCCATGGTTCATGGTTATGAAAGAAAGGGATAAATAAGCCCAAACAAGTGTTTAAGGGTATTTGAACCAATGATCAATTCTCTCTGATTCCTTCAATCTGGTCTTGCTCAATTTGAATCTGCTCGTATATGTCATTCTCTTGATATTCTATTATCTTCGAGTAAAGTTATTCTGGAGTGATTCCTTCAATATGGTCTTGCTCAATTTGAATCTGCTCGTATTTGTCATTCTCTTGATGTTCTATTATCTACGAGTAAAGTGATTATGGAGTGATTGTGTTTGATCAATCTCACAGTTTGAAGCTTGATGCATCCTTTGAGTCAAGAGACTCTTTGTCAGTGCTCCTTGTCTTCTTTTTCTTTGTTTTTCTTTGTTGTTTTCTCTGCTTTTTTTTTGCTTTTTTTTTCTCTTTGTTTTTTATTTGCTTCTTTTCTCTTTGTTTTTTCCGTTCTCTTCACTTTGATATGATCTTTGCACTCTGTATTTGGTTTACCTTTTTCTATCTCATCTGAATCAATGTCTTCACTCATACGAGCAAATTTCCTCCAACTTGCCCCCCAGTGTGGAGGGTGATCCTTGGTTAGGGTTGAATCAGAATAAAACATGATTTAGGCTCAAAGGGGACACAAGGGATATATTTTCTCCTTTTGTGAAGGGATAAAGAAAGAAAGTTGTTCATCATCTCATACACAAAAGTCCTTGTAGAAGAGGTATCCCCAGGGGGATAAATTTTCAGGATTAATTGTTTATTCACATGAAAAAATTTTAATTAATGCATGATAGAATTATTTTTTCATGAATTTCCTTATTCTGGTTCTTGTTCTCAGCATGTCTCAATTGCTCAGGCTTGTCCTCAGAAGATCGCTTCGAGATGCCCCTCATTGTCTTATTGTAGGAAATTTCATGTTCAAGTGAACAGTGTACTCAATGCCTTTAGGTTTTATTGATAGAAAAAATGATGGTGACTTTATTGGCTCAAAGATATGATATGGGTATGAATTTCTGTGTATAAAAAAGATAAGGGCAATATTTCATGGTCAAAAAGAATGTTTAAAGGTCTCAAAGAGAAGAAATGTCAAAATTTGGTTCTTTGGTAGTGACCATGAATGATTTCAGGTAAAGAATCAAGAGATTTTATTTTAGGGTTTTTTAGACAGGATAAGAAAGGTCTAATCTTGTCATATGTCAAAATCTATAATTCTTGAAGAACAAAAAGAATCTGTAATTCATTTGATATTCAAAGAACTAAAGATTAAAATTTGTTCAATTATTCCACCTTAGAAAGCAGTATAAATTCAATCATTAAGTAAAAAAGTTTAAGAAAATATTAAAGACATAAAAAAATGAGTCAAACAAAATAATCTCTCTGGATGAAAATGGTAGATGCAATGATTTCTCTTGCTTAGCATTAAGATGCCCCTGAATGAATCAAATTCTGGATTTTGATCTTCAATGCCTTGCAGTTTTTAGCAGAATGTCCGAGCTTCTTAGGTGGTAATTGTATACTGAATCAACATCATATCCCTCAGGATA